GCAAAATTTCAAGACTAACCTTTAAGATAATTTTAGCCATTTACTACAATGGACATCTTAGGTGGGAAGGCTTGTAAGGAACAGAAATGATACATGTATCATTTTGTATCAAACTATAATAGAAAATACATTGTATTTCCTCAAACTTACTGCTGAGGCATTCTTACTCACGTCTTCCACTTTCTAGTTAATAATAACATGCAACAACAATAACAACTCTCCAAAAAATCCTTTCCATCTCTTCCAAAGAAATCCTGAAGGTCTAGAAGTTACACGTGCCAATATAAGAATTTTCCTTCTAAATGCTGTCTATAGCAATCAATGAAATCAAAACCTGATCAAAACTGTGTTTCCCATTCTCAATGCTTTCGCTGCTATCAATAGTTATTTTTAAACATGTATCTTACTTTTAATCTAAAGAATAATGAAAAGAGACAAAGTTCTTCTGAGTTAAATTTCTATTACTGAGTTGATTTCTATTACAGAGGAGAATTCGTTTTCTTCCTACGTAGAGCTGAAGCATAATCAGTTTTTCATGTGACACATCAAATCCAACTGGTTTCAAGTCCTCTGAGGCTTGAACAGTGAAAAGAGAAAACCTGTACTGCTCTTTGGTTCATCTTAGCAAAACTGTAATATCTTAAGAGTAGACATCTGTAATATCTGTGCACTGGATGCAGATCAAGATCTGATACCAAGGCTACGTATACAAAGAATTTATGTCCAAAGGGAATATTATGAATTTTTATTTCATTGTAAGAATATTTTCATTATGCAAAATTTTATTTTACATTTCTGAAAGTTTGTATACTGTTAATTTCAAATAATAAGCCAAAATCATTTTCTCATCTCTTATTGTCAGCGCTTGCATTTGAGGTTAAGTGCTTTGAGAACATAGAAAATGTTAAATTGTTAGATTTTGCTACATTTAACAGACAAAAACAAACAGTAGAGCAAAACTTCATTTACTCTGAAGTTTAACGTAAAAGAAAAAATGAATAAAAAAACCTAATAAATTCAGAGCTGCTCTAGCTGTAAGGTCCAGATCACGTAAAAAGAATAAATTAGTGCAAAATATTTGCCACTTCAAAATAGACAGGGTGGAAGGTTTAGCAGTGATGTTAGTCTCTCTTTCCAGATCTCTGTATCTCCCACTAAAGACTACTTTCTCCTCCTTCATAAGCCAGCCTATTTAAATCAGTGAGGTGGTTTATGTAGGCAGAGCATGAATTTTTCATTGATAAGCAGTGAGAATACAGAAAAGCAGAGAGAGTTTAAACTACATTTTCATTTTAAGAAATAAAAGTTTCTATCCCTTGTGGGCACAAAGACATCTTTCTAAACAAGAATTGCTAGATAAATGCTTGGAGACTGAAGACAGTTCATGTGCTTATTTAAATATTTTACCAACTATTCAGAAGAGGAGAGGCAGCCAAGAAACAGCAGAACTCTGTCAGTTTTGCTGTGGTGAAAGGCTTTCCAGATAGAAGAGTATGTAACTGATTTCTCTCACACCAACAAGCTGGGAACCCATAAGTAAGACATCTCTACTTAGCACAGCTGAGCTTGAGTCCTGAGCATTGAGCTCCAAAAGCCATCTAGATGGCCAGCTGCCCCTACTCTCAAGCTCACTGCCAGTACTCCCTCCTGGAACTGCAGCTCCAAGGAACATCAGAGCAGAGGACAGAGAATCCTTCTTCCATTTTGATTCAACCTCCAGGATCCATTAGCAGCAGATTCCAGAAATGAAAAGGAAAACAAACAAACAATCAAGCAAAAAACAAAAATAAAAAGAAGCAGAAGCCTTCTTTATTTCATACAACTACCATAAAGGGCTTATCAATACTGCTTAATAATATAAGCAGCAGCACATACGAAGATATGACATTATTCATGAAAAGACAATAATATACTTCCTTGTAAATAAAGCTAGCTGGCAGAGGGAAAACATACTTATCCACCAACTCTAAAAGTCAAAAAGAGGCAACAATGACAGTGGAGAAAAAGGAAGAAAAAATATTAACTCAGCAGTCTTAGATGATCAGAAGTTTGTCTGGTAGAAATAACACTGATTGCATGTGTTTAAAATTCTTTAAGGGCCTCTGAGTATGAACCATCACTGAGAAAAAGAGGTAAAATTTAGCAAATAATAAACAAAATATTTTTCAGTTTACACTGTAAGACATGTAGACACATTGTTCAACAACAAATCACACTGGGGCACTTCCAAGGCCTAATATGAAGTTACACATAATACCAAATACCCATACTCAGAAAATGAACAAACTCACTGTGAGCCTATGTATTATTTTCTTCTTTTGCTTACTGGAAAGCTACTCTTACCTTTCTGCTGTCAGAAAAGCTCCTCTTTATCACTGAGAAGGACGCTTTTAAGATGAGGCACAAACAGAACACTACTTCTTTACTTAGAATCAAAGATGAAAATACTGTGAGCGAAGATCTACACAGGGCAGCTGCTATAAATTCTAATACTTTGAAACTCCAGCACTGTGAAACTCCCTATGTACACAGTTTGCACTCAAAAGTGTTCAAAAATGAATGCTTTTACAGGAATAAAAGTAGAGGCACTGAAAAGGAAGTCAGGCTAGGCTAAGTTTGTTTAACAATTTATAATTAAGTAAGGAAAAGAATACAGACTGCATTAATTGTGGTATGGAAGAATATAATACTCCTAGCTGAACTGAAATATGTTTCACAACAGTTCACCATGAGAACTCAAAAGTAAGGCTTTGGGAACCTCTGAAAGATGTGAGTCTACTGAGTCAACTTGCAATGTCAGAAAGTTCCTGGAATCCCCAAATCACATACTATGCAGTGTAAGATATTCCGAGACTTAAACAGAATAGAACCAAATGAGGAAAAACTTTGTGTAAGATAAAACAAGACAGTACCATAAGTCAGCAAACCTTACACCCTTTAAATCCTGGCAGGAGGCAGAGGAAGATTCTATCAAGAAAACTGTAAAATTCCATTAGGATTGGTTATTAAAAAGAGAAGCAAAATATTGTATGACATAAACATTTGAATCAGATCCAGTTATTTGACAACCATGTTCTATTTGTAAGAACTTCACAAGAAGTTTTCAAAGAAAAACTACTGAATACGCTGTATTCAGAAGAACAGGTTTCTACTTTTTTCTTTTCTTTTCTTTTTTTTCCTCCTGGAAACAACTACACAAGAACACTATATCAACTTGTGTATGAATCAAACACTCAGAAGCTGGACTTTTCTGGACAAGTAAAAATGATCTTTGAAAAAATTAAAGTTTAAAGGTCTGACCTAAACTGTATCTACAACTAAGAAAACAAGCACTAAAATAAATGAGATTGTAAACTTTTCAGATCATTTTCCGCAATGCCCTACGTGTCCTACAACTTGCCCTACAATAGGTAATACAATTTAGATATTAGGTCTCATTGAGAAAAACAGTATCACAGATGAACACGAACTCATGGGTAAGGAAAAAGCAAAAGACTAAAATACACAAGTTACAAAGGAAAATACAAATTACTAGCAAGTAGTTAACCACATGAGAAACAAAGCAGGAAATTCTCTTCAGAAAAGCACAACACAGAGCATACAGAATTAGCAGTCCAGTGTTGTATATGTCAAGAAGCTCAAAGTAAGTGCATCCAATACGTGCTGAGATTCATTGTGCTTAGCAGTCAAAATTCCATTTTGATAATCCTCATATCATGCCCAAATCCTGCTGTTTAAAAATGAAGATGTTTGAACATAAACATGAATGTTAAAGTTAAAAGACAACTGCTAAGCATAGACATATGCTGCCGCAGTTAAGTCTTTCCCAAGCTGCAACAGTACTGTGCAAGCTGAGCTGGGCTCCCAGCAATGCAACTCTTTGCGCTCACTGAACCAGCTACTTTGCTTTATCATCAATTCTTCTCTACAACAGGGTCATTGCCTCAGCTTGATTTTTAACTACATTACTTTCCTGAAAAAGCAAAAGATTTCATTGGATGTTTTGAAAGCCTCGTACTGGCCATTCAACCACATACTGCACAATGCACACAGCTTCATATAGCATCTGTAGTCACACTTGTGGTAAGACTAGCAAGGCTTGTTCAGGAAGCACATGAATGCTTTTTTGTTTTATTTATCTCCATTTCTCATCAGGGTAAGCAGGGCACCTAAGAAACTGCGTTTTTCTGTGTGTTTTAAAGACAATACCACACCTTTTGCAGTGGAATCCAGTCCAATTCTACCTAATTTGGCACTAATAACCCTATGCGAAAAGCCAGAGAAAAAAGTAAAAAATCCTTGCAACATGTCCTTTAAACTCTATGATCACTAATAGTAAGCAAATCCTAGAAATGAAGATCAGTACACGAAGCACATCCTGCCATGTGCAACTTCCATAGTAGCCTATGATCACTTGGGAGTGTCTTTGACAATCCTGAAGGCTGTCAAGTGAGGAAGCAGGTGGATGCTCACATACAAGCAACTGAGGGCACAGCACGGTGTGGGAGCTGTGGGTCTGACAAAGCAGTATCCTAGGCCAGATTCCACCCTTCTGGAATCCACCTGCAGATTGTTCTCACCTGCAGGCTGTCATCACCTGCAGAGGCAAGGCCCTGAGCAACAGGCTGTCATTTATCAGGATGCACGTGCTGCTTCGGAGCTCTGAGAAGCGCCCTGAGAGCTTACATGTGAAGGGGCAGCAGAGGAAGGTGCACACTTTATTTTATGTCAATCTCCTCGGGTCACAAAGAGCAGGAAGTATCCTGCTCCGAAAGCAGCAGTTTAGCGAGCTGCACCTTGTGGCAGAATGACGTGTGTGTGTGTGTGTGTGTGTGTCCGGGTGGTTTTGCACTGTGAGAGGCTTGGAACTGGAGGCAGCGGCTGGAGGAGGCGGTTGGAGCTGATGGCGCGGCCTGAGCCCGCTCTCAGCGTGCAGCAGGCCGCCGCCCGGCAGAGCAGCCGCCCAGCGCCGCACCGCGCCGGGGACAGGAAGCACTTACCTAGGGAACTTCTCCTTCAGCTTCCTCAGGCTCTGCCGGGTGGGCTGCACGTGCCCCAGGAACTGGGCTATTTCATCGTACTGGGCTTTGGTGAGCTTCATGCCTCGCGGCGCCAAGAAATGGCCGAGTTGTGCCTGTGCCGCTCCGGCCCCGAGCAAGCAGGCGGGGAGAGGTGGGAGGCAGGATCCGGGGGATCGGGGCCCCTCGGGGCGCCCTTTGCTCCCAGCCCGCCGATCACACGCCGCGGGCAACAGCCGCCCCACTTCCCGCAGCTCCGCCCCGCGGCCCGGCCGGGGCGGTGAGAGGGGCGGAGCGGCGCGGCCGGGCGGAGGAGCGAAGCGGGGCCACGCCGCCATCCCGTGCGAGTTGGCTCTGCGCAGCCGCCGCTCGCGTAGCCGTCGGCTACATACGGCTGTTTCGATGTGCTTTCCTGGCCCTCGCTCGTGGAGGATAGGAGGGCGGCTGCGACTGCCTCGGAGCCGAATAAGTGCCCGCTGGCTTTCCTATCTGAGAGGGCTGGAGGAGGGCTGGCAGAGGCCTCTGCGTTACTCTCTGCAGTGGCAGCTCAGACTCACGGGGCTGGAGGCCAAAGCAGGGAGAAGCTGGTCTGCAGCCCACTCCATTACAGTTCTAAGGTATGGCTTAGAACTGTATGGCTTGGAAATGACTGTTTCTCCTACTTTTTTTGGTTTAAAAACAAACAAACAAACTCGATGCAAAAAGTGGCACAGTAGTGCAGCAGCGGAGCCTAACTGGAGCTTGCAACTTTGCACTTGTATGCAGGAATTAAAGCTTTCTGTTACATTTTAAAAGAGAGCTGTCTCCAGGCCTAATTAGCTTAGCCATTTCCTGTAGGAAAAGTGCTCCAGCACTCTGATGGTCCCGGTTGCCTGCGTGGCCAGCTTCATGTCCTTGTGCTGGAGGATCTAGAGCTGAATGCAGTACTGATGGGGCCTTATGAAAGGCAGAGTACCGGGAGAAAGCTGCCTCCCTCACCCCTCTTTTGATGCAACCCAGGGTATAGTTGGCCTTCTGATCATTAGAATCATGATTTTTTTTTTTTTCCTCTGGCATTTATGTTTAAAGTAAATAAGTACTTTTTCTTTACTGCTACTATGGGTCCTTTAGAAAGAAATAAATAGTGCTCCTTAAAGTCTTACTGTGCTTGTTGTGAGATCATTTTTAATGAAGTTGTTTTTTAAACAATAATATTACCAGATATAACTTCTAGACTTATTTCTGTTCATCTCCCTTGCTCAGTGCTATGTTTTTGATTATTATTATGTTTTTAAATCACATGATACTCAACCTGCAATGCAGACATATGGAGTAATTTAGAAGAACAGTAGTATGAAATAAAGTCTATTGACCAATGTTTTGTGTGTGTATTAGGTGTACTTATCTGATATACATGTTAGCTATATATTTGATTCTTAGATTCATGTACTAGAATGAAGTTATGTAAGTTTCAAAATTGTTTTAAAAATTAAGTAAATAACCTTCTAGCATTAAGGTCCAGTAAAACTGAGATGAGCTAATAGCAAGCTATAGTGAGGAGATAGCTCTCAGATATTTAAACTGTTGCTTTTGTCTCAAGGAAGCATTTATAGTGAAATGTGAAACATAGTTGGGAAGTGTAGTGTGTAAAATATAACTCACTCTGTGCTAAATTAGTTAAGTTATTCCAATGAAAAAGAAATCACAGAATTGTTGGAGTTGTAAGAGACCTGGAGTTCAGCCCCCTTGGTGAAGCTCCCTAGAGTAGATTGCACCTGGAAACATCCATTCACAACCTCTCTGGACAGCCTCTTTCAGTGTTCTGTCACTCACACACTAAAGTTTTTTCTTGTGTTGTACTCATTGTCCCTTGTCCTGTTTCTGAGCACCACCAAGAAGAGCCTTGACTCCCACCCTTCAGATATTTATAAGTGTTGATTAGATTCCTTCTCAGTGTTCCCCAGGCTGGATGATTCCAGGGAGGCTCAGAAAGTCTCAGCTGCAAATGGTTGATACTGGGCTATGGGCTTCATTTGTTCTCATATTTCTCCCTTGGTGTCTGTCCTTGGCAAATGTTCTTTCTTGCCTTGAGTTTGGGTTCTAGTCCATCTATTATGAAAACTAAGTTTTCATTGAAAAAGGATGCAGGACTGAAGAAGAAAAGAAGTAGTAGGAGAACCAATTGATTGGAGATGAAAAATGGGGGGAGAAAATGAAAAAGAGCATGTAAGCTGTAGGAGTGGAAATCAGGAAACTTATGATACACCTGGCAGAGAACTTCCAGTAATAATTATCATTGCTTGATGATAGTCTTAGCTACAGTTGGTGTATGATAGTAAGTAACGGCACCTTGGTCTGTTTTGTATGGCTAGTTTATTTTTATTTAATTTTACTATTTTGTGCTAGTTTGTAGTTGTAACTGTTATTAGCAGGTGTGCTCCGTTATCTTCAAAAGGTGATTGCATAGAGTGATTTACAGCCAAGTTCAGAGTGAAAATATCTCCACAGAGCTTAAAAGCACTGTGTTTTGAGAATACTTAATGATACTTAATGGTAGTATGATATTATGGGGAATCAATTCATGCACAAAGTGCAAGTTTTTATTAGATTTTTATGACCATCCAGCTGTCTTTTTATTTGACCACCCTACTACTTCATAGACGCAATCTCTGGTCTGCATTGCTTTCTGTAGCAAAATTAATGCAAAGCATGCTAGTATCCATTTATATTTTCTAGTTTATTTGTATGTGTTTGTGTTGGAAACTGGTAAAACTAAAATCTCATTTATTGATTAGAGTGTTTATTACAACTTTCTGAAGTTTGTAGTGTTCCTGCTTTAGTTTGATGGTCATCTCTGCAAGTATGCTTTGGTTGTGAAATGCAGCTCTGCTTGTTTTACATCTTGTTAAAGAAAACTTGAGCATGTTTCTGCTTAACTTGTTAGCAACTGTATCTGTAACAGGTCTACTAAACACACTTCAGTTTATCTCATTTGTATCCATGGGTTTTAATATACTTTTTGAAAGTGATTGTGCTGTGAGAGAAACCATGATATGTTCAGTTTGTTCTCCAAGGAAAAAAAAAAAAGGTTGGTCTATACATCACTGTTAAACACTGACAATTTTGCCAATTCACTAGTCACTGTAGGTTTCTGATCTTTTCTTTCCCCCTACAAGTAGTCATGGAATTGCTTGGCACTGCAACTGTGTGAAAAGCATGACAATAGCAGAATGGCTATACAAGATATTCAAGGGGGCAAGTAGACTTTTTTTTTGTTCTGTGTCTTCAGCCAGGTTGCTAATAATCACCTGAGTAACTCAGTCAAATTAAGTCAGTTTTCAGTAATATGATATCCAATATATCTTTCTTTAAAATACTTATTGAATAAACTCAGAAAAAAAGTCTGTATTTGCATAGTGTTTTGCAAACACTCCTTTACATGAGGCTCAATCTATCATCAATTGAAAGCATATCAATTTTAATGAACTTGGAAACAGACTTCTTATGGTTCTAAGCTGCATGTTTATGTATTTTCTGTAACAAGCTGTAAAGGAATCTTGAAAATAGTGAGTTGTTAAAAATCAATTTCTATAAATGAGATGATAATATGCTCTAAGTGTTCTTATACTACTGCTTCTCTCTCCTGTAGTTCTACGTGATGAAGTATCTGGTGTTTAGAACTCCTTTTTGAAGTTCTCAGTAGTTGGATGCAGAAACCTTTGTGAAAATATCTGCTTTCAAATTCAGGTACTTAATGTTTATTTGCCCTTGTCTCTGTGTTTTAAAGTATCATCAACTACAGCATACTGCTTTTTTCCCAGGGGGGTTTCAACGTCATTCATTGTGCAGAGGAAATACTGTAGTTGTGTGATGAATTATATTGTTTTCTGTAGGACCTTTACCTCCTTTGTTGCAGAATTTGTACTTGGGTGAATGAAGCAAGATATACAGAAAGAAGTTTTTAAGGTAATTTGACTGCTGCCCAGGTAATAGGTATTCTCTCCTTGCTTCCTTTGTGGACTTTTTATGGAAGTGTGGAAGTCCATTGATACAGTTATTTTTCCATGTGGCCTTTTTCTAACACAGCATATACACTACTATGTGCCAGATCTTTGCTTTAATTACATAGGTGCTATAATCTGCTGCCTGAAGAGATAATCTTGACCTACTCTGGACAGTTTCTGAGGAATACCTATGCACTTGTATTACTGCTACTGCTGATTTTGTGCATACAGTTGTCAGGCAGATCAGCAGATTCAGATGAAAACTTAACACGGCAGAAGAAAATAGCTATAAAAATAATATTTATTTTATCTAAATCAATGTGTGAGTCTAACTCTGTGGGAGGAAATAGGGTTGCACAGGGCTGCAAGATTACTTTCCCTAGACAGTAGCAGAGCTACCTGGGGGATTAACCTTACAAATTACACATCTAAATTAGGTGCCAACCATTAAGCAATATGATTATCCTGCATATGTTCTTCTTAGAATTTACATTTAAAAGCCTAATTACATGAAATGCTAAGCACTGTCAATGGAATTGAAATTAATGGAAGTTTTACTTTGAACATGCAGGGTACTGAGCACAGTGTTCAGAAAAGTGAGGTCCTAAGCGTATTATGCTTCAGAGACCAAATCAGTGAACAGTTTTGGCCTAGATCTTTCAAATTATTTTTGTACATGGATATACATAGATATATATATGTATATACACACCTACACAAATTTATACAAAAATACATGACAGATGAAAAGGAATATTGAAAATGTATTAATATATATAATCATGCTAGTGTTATATATTATTGCTATAGTATAGCTTTATGCAATATGCTACTATGGTAATGAGTTTCATTATAAAATATATATGAAATTAGTAAGACTATTCTTAGTATGCATGGCATGGATAAATTAAATAATGAATGAGGCCAAATTTTGAGTTTGAAGGTTAGGAAGAAATACCGCAGAGGTGTACTGCCTGTTTTTTTCTGGTAATAAGGCAAATCAAGCACTATCTTGCACAATAGGTAAACAGAAGAATTGAACAATCAATTCATCAAAATGAGCAGAAAAACTTCCATGTGTTTCAGCTTGACTTTGTAACAGTAATTCTGCAGTGTGCGAGTATATAGAAAAAAAATTAACCCCACTGAAAAACAACTATTCTGATGTTATAAAAATATACTTTGTGATAGGTTGGATTCCATTTTCAGTATTTATTTTTTAGTTTGCTAAGTGGCAATTAATTGCAAAAGTTCAATTGCTTTGAAGCATTTTTCCCAGCATTATTTTGAGACAGCAAGACTTTGCTAAGTTTATTAAAAAAACTTGGTAGAAAACATAGACTACTTATATGCTCTGACATACTATTTCTTTTTTTCTTACAGTCAAAAGAATTTCAGATAGAAAGATAAATACTACAGAAGCCTAAAAGTAGCCCCATTATGTCACTTCATGGCTTTCCAGCAAATTTCTGCAAGCTAAACAAATTTTGCCTAAGCAGGAATTATGAAAGGGAAGAAAGATTGATGTTAATTCCCTTACCCACTGACTCAACCAGTACCTATCAGCTGACTACAGGAACTTATATTTGTAGAATTGTGTGTTGTTATGGTAATTTGGTTCTTTTTTGTGTCCTCCTCCTTTTACTCCCACAGAGAAAAATGGGGAAAAAAAAAAATCAAAGGCTGGCTTGTATAGCTTTCTATGACTCATCACATGTAATATTTGACTTCAGTGAGGGCTGCACATGATTAGCTAGCCCAAAAATTACGAGATTATTATGTGTAATCTGGTACTCTAAGCATATGACAGTTTTTCAGGAACTTTGATTTAGTTTAGATCAGATAAGCTTTGGGAGGCAAACAAAGGTATATTAAGGTTTTTTTTTTCACTAGTAGTGAGATCTGTATTGTCACCATATACTTAAGGGCTTGAGTTGAATAGCTGAGATTTCATTCACTGTTTTTATTCCAAAACACCTGATGTTTTATTGCCCGAGGATTCTAACCTACCATTACATATAAAGTATTTTCACTGCTAAAAAACTGTAGTCTTGAATGATTGTTGTCACAGAATTATAGAAATGTAGAATGCAACTAAACTCATGAGATCATGCAGGCAGCCAGATCAGATGTTTGATAGGATCAAATACAACTGCACTATCTCATACAGAAACATTTCTAATTTGTCATTATAGATTTCTATAAAAAGGTTTTCATCTCTATTGGCAACATGTTCTTGTATTTTACTTCACTTAAACTTTGAAAGCTTGTTTCTAATGTTTATTCCTAGATTCACATATTGCAAATTGAAGCACTTTCTGCTCTGTGCTTTGAAGAAAGGGGAGAATGATAAATCACTAGCTTATTTTAACCTTTTTTCAAGGTTACTGTACTGCTGACCCATGTCTCCAGTTTTTGTTTTGTATTGCATGCAAGCTCATTCCTTTCGATCCTTTTTTTTTGCATGTCATTTTTTCTGAAAAGGGTTGTCATTTTTTTTCCTCTATATCTTGCAGTATTCTTAAAATCCAGTGCAAAAGCTACTCCAGCTGAGGCATTTCATTTTGCTGACTAGATGAAAATTCTAATGTTTTTTAAAGAAAATTCCTTCATACAATTTCTCAAGTTACTGAAAAAAAAATCACATTGCAAGTTTTTATTTTGTTTTAACACACTCTTCAGTTTGTCATGCTGGCTCATGGAAGTAGCACTATTAAGGAGAAGTAAAACATATATAATGCAATAGATATCCAGACCTGTCTCTCATAATAGGGGATTCAGTGTGCAAATCATAAGAAAATAATAATCTGGAATACTATTAGGTGACCACTGTAATATTTCAAATATTTTTCCATGAAAGTTTATAATAGTATTACAGTTTTGTGAGTCTTCTATTTCTTTTGATATCCACTCACTCTTTCTAACACATGTAAAGCATACTTGACATTTATAATAATGGAATGATTAGGCATGTTACTGACATCAAGGTTTAAGGAACTGGGTGACATAGGGAATTTATGTTCCACTTTAATCCATTTATTAGCCTCCGCTGGGACTTGTTTTTAAATCTAACTTGAGCCATACCAATCTTGGGGAAAAAAAAAAAGCTGCCTAATCCAATGGCCAGTAAAACATGTAGATGTAAGAAATTGTCAAAGCTTCCCCCAAGCCCTTTTTCAGTAATAAAAATATTAATGACTTGTATGATGACATTCTCTGGAATCCTATGGTTACTTGTTTAGAACTAGTGTTTTTCAGTTCAAGAATCAAAAGAGAAGATAGTACAGATGGATTGTTTAAGGCACTAATAAATGAAATATAAACATATAATTCCATACAGCACTAGTCGTTAATGATTTCTTTATACATCACATCATTTTTTCTTTTTATTTCAGTTCTAAAAAGAAAAAAATCTTTCTAGGTTAATAGTGCTTTTCTTTTTTGTTGGGGAAGAAAGGTTTGAATGTACTTGCATCAAGCAAGTGTCTACAGTAATACTAAAACCAGTTGTTTCAAAAATATCCAGATTGGCACTGCAGATTGCCAAAATACAGTTCTGAAGTAGGTCTCCTATTCTTTTGTAATAAAACATTTGCCCTTTCTGTCAAGCTAAGTGAAACTGCCACTTGGTTAGTAATAAGAGATGTATAAGACCAGATTCTGTTTTTACTTACATAAGTGTGAGTTCAGAATTATTTAGAGTCAAAGCAATGTAAAGATACTCAATTTATGTTGGTGTAGTATCTTTGTAGTGTAAGCTGTGGTAACAGTATTAATACCATTACTTGATATTAGGTGTTCATATTCAGACAAATATTTGGAGAAATTCAAGTCAGATGTTGATGCAGGGAACTGTATTTTGCGTGTTCATTCAGAATAATTTGCTGCCTATTGAGGTGCCAATCTCAGGGTTTAAAGATGAAAAGTACATTTCCATTAGTCAAATATTTATGAAAAGAACGCAACATATTTAAACCTTGTTGACCTTTACACAGTTATGACATATACATCATCACAGTTATCCTTACTATTCATTTTGTCTGAAAAGAGTAAAGCTAGAGGTTAAGTAGTCCCTAAGGGTAAGTTAAAATGTAGATTACTGCCGTGTTGCATGGCTTTAGTATACCTTGTGTCTTTTGTGGCAGGTTGATGAGACCGCTCAAAGCGATAAAGTAGGTTGCTAGATGATGTGATTTAAGAAAAAAGCCTAGAAAATGAGTTTATTGTTATTGTATTTAGTATTGTAAAGATTGTATTTGATAATACACTTGTGTTAGATGTGCAAATATGTATCTTTACTTTCAGCTGATGTGTTCAAAATGGGTTTAAATTAAAAATGAGTTATTAATACATTTATCTTTTCTCTGATCTGAGACTAGAAGGAAGTCACTATGTCATTCAACAAGATCTCCTGCATTACATATATTGTAGATCTTTCATTAATTACGATTCAGCACCTGTGACTGAATTAGATAACATTTTTAAATCAAAAGAGTAATCAAAATGATCTTTAACTCTTGACTTAAAATCATACTGAAGTACAATAGTCCTGTTCTGCCTGCTTAATTACTTTCACTGATGATTTAAAGTAGCCTGATTTATTTATTACTTGCTTTTGTTACACCTCAATTTTCTGATTTTGGTAAATTGCTAGGTTTATCAATTTACAGTCAGTATTGCTTCTCAAGTCACCACTTAAACACTTCTTTGAGAAGTAAAATAGATCTTTAATGATCTTCATCT